GACTTTATTTTATTCTTATTCTCTGAGACTTCCAGTTCTTCCACAACCTTATACACACTTAGCATCTGAGGCATATCTAATTTGGGCATTCCAGAAGATTTATAGTGGTATCTCATTATAGTTTTAATTTACATTTCCCTCATTGCTATCATGTTGAGCATATTTTCATGCACTAATTTGCCATCAATATAAGTTCAAGGATATATCTGCCTAAAATTTTTTCTTATGTTTTATTGGGTCATTTGTATTATTATTGAGTTTTGAGTGTTTTAAAATATATTCCAGGTATATATTATTTATCAGATAAAGATTTGCAAATATTTTCTCCAAGCTTGTGACTTTCTTAAAAGCATATCCCATAGAAAAAAATGGTTAAATTTTGATTACTTCCAACTTAACAAGTTGTGCTTTTATGGGCTGCACTTTTGGAATCATGACTGCAAAAGAAAAAGTCCTACCTCAATGCCACAATGGTTTTCTCCAAAGTTTATTTCTAGAAGTTTCATAAGCTTAGAACTTACATTCAGGTAATTGAGTCACTTTGATGTAGTATTAGTATCAGTGTCATGTAAGGTATAGATTAAAGCTCTTTTTCTTTTCTAACGAGGATTTAAAATTGTCCCAGAACAATTTGCTAAAAAGATTTTACCTTCTCTACTCCTTTGCAACATTGCTGAAAAATAGTTGTTTATTTTTGTTTGCATTTATTTTTGGACACATATTATATTATTATTTTATTTATTATTATTTTTTAAATAACACAATGTCTTGATGATTATAGTTTCTTTATATCTGTTAAAATCAAACAAAATTGGTTTAATAGCTTTGCTTTTATTTCCAAAAGTGGTTTGGTTATTCTGGATTTTTCAAATTTCCACATGAATTTTAATAACAGTTTGTCAATTTTTATAGAAAAGTTTGCTGGGATTCCCATATGTCAATTAGGGTTATTGAGTTTTGTGACATATATATTTAAATGTTTAAAAATTACTAATAACAATGTTTTGCCTACAGGGATTTTATGTATGTATGTATGTACGTATGTATGTATGTATGTATATATGTATGTATTTATTTATTTAGGATACAGGGTTTCGCTCTTGTTGCCCAGGCTGGAGTTCAATGGTGTAATCTTGGTTCACTGCAACTTCCGCCTCCTGGGTTCAAGCGATTCTCCTGCCTCAGCTTCATGAGTAGCTGGGATTATAGGCATGCACCACCACTCCTGGCTTATTTTGTATTTTTAGTAGAGACGGGATTTCTCCATGTTGGTCATGTTAGTCTCCAACTCCAGATCTCAGGTGATCTGCCCCCCTCAGGCTCCCAAAGTGTGGGGCTTACAGGCATAAACCACTGCACCCAGCCAGGGCTTTCATTACTTTTATTAGATTGATACATAAATATTTTGTAGTTTTGGTGATTTTATGAATGGGTTTTTTAAAATTAGGAATTCTGATTGTTTATAAAGAAATATAATTATTTTGTATTTATCTTATTTTCTGAAACTCTGCTAAAAATATTAGTTATGATTAGTTCCAGTAGCATTTTTATTTTATTAGTAGATTCTAGTGGACTTTTTTGTTAGCCATCATGTCATCTCCAGATAAAGATGCTTTTCCTCCTTCTTTTCAAATATAGATACCTACTTGTTTTTTCTCTATATTGCCCTGCCTAGTACCTTAATGGAAATGTTGACTAGAAGCAGATAGTGTGGACACTTTTTTTTATATTTAATAATGATATTAAATAAGGCTAAATAATGATATTAAATGATAATGATATTAAATGATAAAAGACTAAAGGATATTACCTGCAGGTTTTTTTATAGCTTCTCTCTGTTCTCTCTGTCAGTTTCAACTTTAGTCTTTTATAATTTAATAATAATTTCAGAGATTCTCTCTGTAAGTTCGAGGAAGTTCTGTTCTACCATTACTTTGGTTAAAGGTGCTCAACAGATATAAATGTTGAATATTGCCAAATATTTTTTGATATTTCAACTCAGTTTTTTATGTGCTTAATTATACTGATTGATTTTCTAATGTTAAACCAACCTTGTATTCCTGGATTAAACTCCAGTTGATCATGTTGTATTACCTAATTTTCAATGATGTTGCATTGTTTGATTTGTTAAAACATTTAATAATGTTTACATAAGTCTTTTATTTGACTCATTTTAAAAGTTTTAAAGTTTGTTCTTTTTTATCTTTAGTTTGTAGAATTTTAATTATGATGTGTCTTAGTGTAGAATTATTTGGCAGGATTCTTTTGAGGGTGGCTAAATTTCTTAAATCTGTGGGTTCATGTCTGTCATTCAATCTGAGAATTTTTCGGTTATTATAGGCTTAAATACCCTTTCAGCTCCTCTTCTTTCTCCTCTCCTCTGTGACTCATATGATATATGATATGCATTTTATATATTTAGTTACTATCCTGAAGGTTACTGAGGATTTTTTTTTTTTTTTTTTTTTTTGGCTATATACTCTCTATTGTTCAGATTGGGTGAATTCTATTATTCTGTCCTCATCTTTGTTAATTCTATTCTTTCTCATTCCCACTTTGTTAATAAACTACTCCCAATTTTTTAAAAATTTATGTTATTATAATTCTTACAATATAAATTTGGTAAATGTATATTGTAAAAATATTTGTATAATATCTATTTGGATATTAAAACTTATAGCTTATTTCTTTGCTGAGATTTTATAATTTTTAACTTGGATCAAAAAAACTTGTGATTTCTTATGGCAGCATTTCTGTTCAAATTGCTTCAAAATCCTTGTGAGAGAGTTCCAATATGTGATTTATCTTATTTGTGATTTTTTCTGGTTCTCAGTATGACATATAATTTTTACTATATCCTGGTCATTTTGCTTATTATCTTAGGTGACTCTGGCTCTTACTTGAGATTTCTTTTTTAAACAGAAATTTACTGTTTAGCTCATGGGTTCGTAGGCCATGGTTCCATTTATGATCTATGTTTTAGAGTCATTTGGTGCTGCTTTGTTCTGACTCATTTATCCCATGTCACTGGGCACCCACTGTTCCCTGCTGCTGTTGTTTGAAGGGATGGAAAAAGCTTTCCAGATCAGTGCTGGTTATGGAGGCTTCCTTCCTGCTGTGGAAGAGGCAGGATAATGGGGAACTTGGAGCAGGTCAATCTTTGCTGGTCGTCTCCACTAGGATGGTGTACCACTTAGGCAAGGGGAGGGTAGTCTCAGGACCTTGACAAAGTGGCCTCCCTCCCAGACACTTATCAGGAGGAACTCCTGCCAGTGTTCCCAGTCACACAGTACCTCTGAGTGGGGCAGAGGATTCTCAGGCCCAGGGAGAGGGCCAGCACTTCAACTGGCTTCCCATTGTCATCACTCATTGATGCTTGTGGCCTTGCCTGGTTATTAGTGGGGCTCCTTTACAAACCAGAGGTGGTATGAGCCTATCTAGAGTGCTTTCTGTTTTAATGTCAGGACTGAGAAAATGCCCGGCCTGGTGGGTGTTCCTCTGTTTAGTGGAGCAGGTAAGGTATGCCCTGCTCAGTGCTGGCCTGAGACCCCTAATCAGGTCTTCCTTCTTCTGCCTTTCAGAGTTCTTATTTGTTTGTCTCTTGCATTTTCTTCAGTGTTTACAGTTGTACTTCTTGGGGAGAAGTAGAGAGAGATGAGCCTGTGCCGTTTTTTTTGTTTGTTTGTTTGTTTTTTTTGAGATGGATTTTTGCTCTTGATCCCAAGGCTGGAGTGCAATGGCACAGTCTCAGCTCACTGCAGCCTCCACCTCCCAGGTTCAAGTGATTCTCCTGCCTCAGCCTATCAAGTAGCTGAGATTGCAGATGCCCACCACCTTTTATTTTATTTTTAGTAGAGGTGGAATTTCATCATGTTGGCCAGGCTGGTCTCAAACTCCTAACCTCAGGTGATCCGCCCCCTCAGCCTCCCAAAGTACTGGGGTTACAGGTGTGAGCCACTGCATCTGGACACCTGTGCCATCTTGTCGGGACCAGAAGTCATTCTAAATTGGTTTTAAGTAGCCAATTCTTTAATAATCTGAGGTCGAGCAATTTTTCCCTATATTTAACAACATATATTTCCATGTTTATTAACTGTTTTATGACAGATTATTCTTGTCTCCTTATTTCTGTGATGGTTTAAAATAACAGATATATTTACATCTTTTTCAGGTGTGTTTGCTATAAATAAATCTCCAGCTTCTTGTTCTTTTAATTTTTGCATAATTTTAAATTTTTTACATTGCTTACATTTTTTAGATATGATTTTTGGAGAACTTGACATTATTTTAACTGGAAGAACTAGACGTACTAATTCTATAATTTAAAAAATGTTCAGAGTTATTGATAATAACAGACTTCAATATTATATAACAACTGATGCCATTGATAATAACAGGTTCGCATGGAAAGGAAAAGAAAATATTAAATTAAGTAGAAGATGTAATGCCTATTTATTTTTTGCAAGAGGATTAAAATGAATTGGGTTAATTCGATTTATCTGAATTAGCACTCTGGTCAATATCAGCAGAATCAGTTTTTATTCTTTTAGAATCATTTTATCCTATATCTTCACCGATTTTATGTTGCATAACTGATGCTCCAAATCTTACCCCATTTATTGGTGCATAATAGATGTTCAACAAGTATTAATATTTACTAACAAATACAGTGGTCTGAACATTATATCTGTCTTTCTGTGGACTTCATGATCCCTCATATTGCCTAATATAAACCATAAGCTCAGGAAGACCTCAGTAAGTATGAATGGAAGATGTAGATGTAGATGTATAAATGGGATCACAGAATGTTGACAGAAGGGTGAATATTGATGGATTTTACTACAATGATAAATAATTCAGTCCCTCTATCTTTTATAAAATGTTTCTGATTACTAGGGAAAAATGGAAGGTGGAAGAGACAATCAATAATTTAAAAGCTTTGCAATCATGTAAAAATGATAAACATAATCATAATTGTATTTTTTAAAATTCTTTTTTAGGTTCAGGTTCTTCGGAATGCTGGAGAAGAAGTGAATCTAACGGTGTCATTTTTAAAAAGGGCACCTGCTTTCCTCAAACTTCCATTGAATGAAGATTGCGCATGTAAGCATTAATAAAGAATGGATAAAGTGCTCACATCATTATAGTTACATAATTATTATTTTGACAATAACTAGTGATTTCTTCTTGTAGTTGAGGTTTTTGTCTGACTATAAATATATTTATATTACCAAGTGTGCTACTAACCTTTATAAAAAAGGAACAGATGTTATTTTTCTTTTTTTTTCCCATTTATTTATTTTATTGCATTTTAGGTTTTGGGGTACATGTGAAGAACATGCAAAATTGTTGCATAGGAACACACGTGGCAGTGTGATTTGCTGCCTTCCTCCCCATC